GAGCCTTCCCTAAAAGGTCTTCATAAGCCATAAATGTGATAGATTTCTGGATGCAGTTGTTTCGCTTAATGTTGGCATACTGATGATCTGGGCACTTTACACACTGTTCTGCATCTATTGAGAAATGCAAATAGTTATCAGCTCAGGTTCAGCATCCCTCTATCATTTACAGACCCTCACACGTGTTCATTGTACTAATTGAGCCGAATAATCCTTATGTCTGTAGTGTCCTTGAATTTCTAGGAACTTAGTAATGGGATGTTGTATATGGAGTGACTTCCAATTAATAATGTTCACCTTTATGGTCTATTGAGCAATATGTCTTCTCTTTATTAACCTAGTATTCAAATGAGTCTTCTTCCATATTACAAAACACTCCAAGATGGATCTATCCAATATGATCTGTAAGTAATGCCTTCATAATACATTTAGTGAACCAGCACTAATTGAGAAAACATGGTGATGTCCTAAATTCAACAGAAATAGAAACTCTGGTTCCTGGCTGCCTTGATGTAAACACCTTTCTCTTTGATATACCCTCCCACCATGCCTCCTCACACTGGAGCCAGCTGGATATGGACTGAATACACTCAAAATTGTAAGCCAAAATAAAGCTCTCAGATCTCAGTAGAATCATGGCAGCCAGAAGGGAGTGAGATGCCCTCAGCCCCAGGAAACCTCAACCATGGAGGAGGGAACCCAGACACCTGGAGACCTTGAAAATTTCCAGAGCTATATTTTCCCTTGGCTAAATTTTCGCCCATGGGTTCCATGTACTAGTCACGGTCATCAACCAATTCTTGAATCCATTAAGTGTTTATTTTCCACAGCGCAGGGCAGCAGTTGCTGTGCCTTAGTGGTGGACCAGCCTGACTATAGATGAGGCCAAAACCTGTGGAAGCAAATGTAAGCATGGAGGGTGAGCAGCTCCGTGGAGAAATGGTGGACCGGATCACCACTCTCAGCCCTAAGAAAAGCCCACAATTGTTGTCAACTGAATCAACAGTAAGGGCTTTGACTCCAGAAGTAACTCCTTCCACGTGGCAAGTTAGAGTTGGAGAAGGAACACAGAACATCCCCTCCCAAGTCTGAGATTGTTCACTCAGGAGCCATTCTGGGCAGGGGTTAATGTTTGTGACTGAGCCACAGAACAATTTCACTTTAGGGCTTCTAGTACTACCACAAAGGCTGGTTTGTGACAGCCACAAGAAATAGACATGAATACATGCACAGTAGACATAGACCCCTTGAGTAGTTAAAATTCAAGAGAGAAAGGACGTGGGGTCATGTGCTCCATGGTAAGAAACAAGATCAGCATGTATGACATTTAGAGGTGGCTGAATCTGGAAAGGATGGCATTAAGTTAAGTGGATTTCTTGAACCTCCAACCCACTGGCTACATTCATCACAGATGAGTGATTGTCCCCACCACCACCACCACCTACCAACAGAATCAAGGACAAGCATCAGCTCGGATGTATGCCACAGCCTTGGAGGTAGGGACAGAGAGCCCTTGGGAGCAGATGGGGCATCTTATAACACACAGGCTGTAAAGGTAGGCAGAAAAAACCATGACTTTCTGGATCGCAAGACTGAAGATTCTGGAAAGAAATCACTCATTCAAAAACTCAGAGGGCCCCACCCAGGCTGCTGTGCAGCTGGCGCCCGGAAAGGCAGGCAGCAGGCCCCGGGAAGCAGTGCAGAGATGTGCCCGGGCCCTCAGGCCAGCCACCGGCGTGAGGTGGAGAACCGCCAGGCCACAGAGAAGCACCGACACAGCAGGCCCCCCCGGAGACGTGCGTGAACCACCCCGACATGGAGAAACCTCAGGAAAACATGCCACACGGCGGGGCGCTCTTGGCCCTGCCCTTGAGAGCCAGAGAGGTCCGGAGTCAGCGGAGGAGCAGCTGGTGAACAAGGACCCGGAGAACAGGAGAATACCGACGCCCTACGACTCAGAGGTCGAGCTGACTGGGGACACAAGAGCCATCCGGGAGCTGGAAACCAGGAGGACATTGTGCAGTACCCAGGGAGACTCCCTGGAGGCCATTCTTCCCCTAATTGTGCAGGCTGTGGTGGAGGAGCGAGTGGAGCTCTGGAGAGGCCTGCACGGAGACTTCATGGATTACATGGGGGCCCAATATGCAGATTCTGTAGAACCGCCTTCATGGAGAAGGACCGTTGTCTCCAAGGAGGAGCCCGTGAAATCATGAGTATAGAGGAAAAAGTGGATGGCCCATTGCTGGACACTGGTGCTGGTCTCTCGGTCCTTCTTTTCACCCCGGCCTTCCTTCCAGCCATCACACTTCCGTGAGGGGAGTCCCTGATGAGGAGGTAACCCGTTCTTTTTCACAACCCTTGGGCTGTAACTACTTGTTGGATCTTTCTTGCATATCTTTGATTTCCTGAGAAACCACTTTGAGGACGCCAACATGTATTGCAGCAGCCACTGATGATTTCCCACCAATCTGTCCGTAACTCTGTAATGTTTGTATTGTTCCTGTGCTATTTCACAAATGGACGTACGTTTGTTACTATGTGTTTTCAACAACAACCATTGAGAATAGTCAATGATTATTTGATTGATCACTCATGTATAGCTCTATTTGTTTTCCCTAGAGACCACATTGAAGAAGTCAGGGTATAGTACAACCACCATTGATAATTTCCTACCATTTTTGTGTGTAACTCACTATTATTTGTCTATTTGTTTTCCTGAGAAACTATCTTTAAGATACCAATGGGTAAAATAACAACCATTGATAATGTCCTACCACTTTGTCTTAATTTGGTGAATCCCCTATTGCTGTGTTGTCCTTCTTTCACTCTTTAAAATAAAAAATAAAATAAAATAAAATAAAAACTCAGAGGAATTTTTCATTGGACTCACATTTTACTCCTCATCAGTTTTCAGAGGTTTGAGTTTTATCCTTTTTTCTTTTTTGATGCGTTTCTATTACTTTTTCATTTTTCCTTTATTTTGCCTCTTTTATTCCTCCTTTTCTTGTTTGTTCTTTTCTGGTACTTTAAAATAATGTTGCTAATGTCCTTTAACTCCTTAATAAGGTCTTATATCCCACATTTCTCTTTTCTTGCTCATCTTTCACTGCTTAATATTTCACATTTTATTTTTTATTCTCCCATTCCCCCTATCATTTTACTACTACAACTACTAAGCTTTGTTAGTTTTTGGTTAATTCTGTGCTCTTATTTTTGAATTCATTTCCCTTAAAGTGCAGGTATAGTTGTAGCATTTAGTGTATACTTACTATATGTCAATATTTGCTTTGGCCTACTGTTTATATTATACTTATAGATCTTTTTTCTTTGGTTAAGGATGGTACATTATTGGTGCTTATGTTATCAATATCCACCCTGATTTTGATGTTATTCTTGTTGCTGACTTTGTTGTCATTTCCAGGTTGGCAGAGTTCTTGCTTTTAATTAGATTTCCATGTATGCCAATATCTATATTGTCTCTGTTTTATTTAAAATACTATTGTACATTTTCAGAGAACTGGGTGCTGGGCCAATTATACTTCACACTCCCTCCCAAATTATCACAGATTATTGAATCTTAAGACAGAGGCAAAGACCTATAGTTAGCTTTCCCAGAGTATATAACTCCAAGCAGACTCCAGCTAAAGAAGTCTTCCTACTAGCAATAAAGTCTTTCCACTATAATCAACCCACAAATCTCAGCATGTATGCACACACACATGCACACACACAGTGCTAGAAACCTGAGAAGACAAGACAGCAAAGTGCCTACAAATGCTCCAAAAACCCCAAAGCTGATCAATGGGGCATAAAGGGAGAGAAAATCAAAGTCACACAACTGAATCATTCAAAAGGACAAAATAGGTTCAAAAACAGATGAGTATGATTCTTGGCAAGTGCTAAAATGGTATACATAACAGGTAAAGGACTGAACTTAAAAGTGATCAGTGAGTTTATAGAAGACACTAATAAAATGCTACCTGAGCTCAACAAAAAGATTTTTTAAAAAGGAATGATCAATTTAACAAAGAATTAGAGTCCATGAAAATGTACCAAACAGAAATCCAAGAGTTTCAAAGTTCTGAGCATATGGGAGCAGAAGTGACCAGTGTGAACATAGTTTCAGAACTAAAAGATGGCCCTCACGTCAGTGATCTATTACTCAACAGATACTTTAAAAAATAAATCATGAAATATGAGTGCAAGAGCTGTTAAATGACCTGAGAAAATTAATCTTAGTTAAAATTAGTGAAAAATGAAAAGACAGTACAATAGCATAAAAAACTTTTTCACAAAAAATAACAACACAAAATGTTCCAAGTATGGGGGGAAATTTAACATTATACACAAGTGAGGCATATAGAACTACAAATAACCAAGGTCAGAAAAGAATCTCACTACAACAGAGAGAGAAAATCCTAGAAATCCAACACAAACACTGAATCTTAAGAGCTATTAGATGAAAGCAACAAATCACTTATCAAGAAAAACTCACTATAATTACAACCGATTTCTCAACACAACCCTTAAAGGCCAGGAGAGCTTGGAGTGAAGTGTTTAAAGCCCTAAAAAATAAGCTTCCAACCCAGACTGCTACATCCTGAAAAGCTACCTTTCATAATTGATGGAGAAATAAGGTCATTTCAAGGCAAAACACACCTTCAGAAATTCATGTCCACCAACCAGCACTCCAGAGACAATAAAGCTAACATTGTCAAAGAGTCTTATACACAGTCCTTGTAATTCCCATTTTCCCCCTACCTTGGACCTGCCTCACCTTGGGGTTTTTGCTCTATAAAATCCCTGGGAGGGGCAGGGTCCTTGGCAACCTGCTCGGGCCCCCTTCTGTCCCTGTCTTGGACAGAAGCTTTCTTTCTCTCAATAAATATATTCTGCTCTTTAAAAAAACAACTAAATTCAACCCCCAGTATTACAATGAGTTCAAGAGAAAAGAAAATAAATCAAAGAGCATAGTCTTAGAGGCAGAGAATGTGACTTTCCAATGTACAGAAGTGCTGAATCAAATTGGCAACTGAAAATGAAGGAATTTTGTGTGTGCTGTTCTCTTCAAGGTCTTTTTCCATTTCCTGGGTTAATGTGGGTAACATGAGGAAGGTGGATTGGTCCGTGAAGGTGGATCTTTCTCACCAGTGAAGTTGGCGATCTCATTCTCTGAACATGGGGTGCAATGAAAACAACAGGCAGCTTTTCCCTCCTGAGGAGTTTTTCTAAATCCAGGATCACAGCTTTCACTGCATACAGAGTGGGGAGTCTGAGGAATGATATTTGTTAGTAACTTTTTGAGTTGTATAATCTTTCATAAGTAATATGGCAATTTGTATGCATATATAAATCAAACTGTATGATTGAATGTCATTTATTGACCATTATAAAGTAGAAGAATATTTACAAAGTTTGATGAAATAAATGTTCCCTTCCTATTCATAAAAATATTGAGAAGAAAATGATTTGATTTGGAAGCCAGTTGTTAAATTTACACATATGGCTATTTTCTGAGTGAAACAGGGAAATAATAAAAGACCTAGGGAGAAGAACCATGAGACTCCGTGCAAGTATGGTTGGGCTTGGGTTCTGTTTCCTAAGGTTTGGATATCATTTTCTTAACCTAACAAGAGGCCCCTGACAGTAATTGAAACAATTAGTTTCTGTAACACATAATGTGAATTACAATGAGCAGGGTCCTGTGGAAGGTGCGAGGGTTTCTCAGAGAGACACTGGCCCATAGGGGAGGGGAAGGTGGGGAGGGTTGTGGCCAAGGGAGCTCCACAGAGAGGACAGGTGGCCAGGGAAAAAGCCAAGCCACAGAGGGAGTTGGGAATATTCAGTGAGTGACACCATGGCTAAGACCAGGGCTCCAGAAGAAACAGAGGCCTCTTCAGGTTGGTGGGATCTTATTGCCCAGAAATAAGATGAAACAAGGTACTAGATCCCAGCACCACCAAGCCTCTATTCATACTCCTCTGAAGCATGTCTTTTTTCTGCTAATTTTAGAAAAGTTACAATTAGTGGTACTTGCAGAAGTTGCTTACTATGTGCCCAAGTTCCTACAGGCCCACTTCTAAGTCAAACTTCCTTACTTGATACCCTACAAGTTGACCTCAACTTGGCTGAGAGGCAGTCACTATTGTGTATAAAAAGCCCTAGACAAACAGTCCCCAAGGCAACCAGCTCAGGTTCCCTCCTGAGTTCCATTACCTGGAGGCTGTCTGCTTTCACTTTCTAATAAATACTTCTGTTCATTTCTCTTTTGATTCTCTGCCTTGTAATATTTCCTGGGTTGAGAGAAGAACCCAGGAGCCAGATGGTAGCAGTGAGGAAGGGTTGGTGTCAAAAATCCCACAACCAGATTGTGATTACTTACACTTAATGAGGAAAATTATTATGAGGCTCAAATTACCTCTGTAACTTCTGTGGCCCACTCAATCAAGTGATCAGATAAAGACAATTTTTGACCATGCAGAGCATGTGGAGAAAACTCTCCTACTTTCACTCTAAGTCTAAGACCTTCAGGAAAATTCCAAATGTTGAAAATGTCATACTCTGCTTCCAGTTTCCTTTCATCATCCAAATGCACTTGGTCTCCAGTAGTACCAATAAAGTGGACGCTCTTCAGAAAGGGGTGCAGCTAAAAGAGACACACCATCCCATGATGAAGTTGGCCTCATAATTAGGACAGGAGCCTGAATAAGGAAAATCCCCTAACGCTCTTTAATACCCATGATATAATTCAAGATTATTACAGATATGTAAGGATCTAGAACAATGAAAGCCTATGGAGAACTGAAGCATAATGTTCATAAAATCTCAGTGATTGTCAAGAGAAAATATGTCAGCCAAGCTGGTTGCAATAAACTTAGCACATGGGTGTTAGAAAAAAATCTGTACTGTGTAGCCAAATATTTCCACATCCAATTTCTATATGATTCTTCAGAAAGCATCTAGTGGAAAAATGACATAATCAATATCAAATGTGACTGCAGAATTAAATAAGAAAACTCACATAATATACCCACTAGAGTTCTTAGTACCAATTAGGTACATAAAAGCTACACAATATTTGTTGTCCTTTACAAACACCATGGGCAACATTTAGTTTTATCTTGTTGAAAACATTAGAGGGGAAGGAAATTTGCATATGGTGAAACACAAAACAGTGGCTCAGTTAATACCTTTCCCTTTTTGTAAATGGTGCCTTAAATTATTTGGTATTTTGTTACTAGGAGATCCTAAACTATTTGGTTTGAGCTCCACTCACACCTCTTAAGAAATACACTTTTAGGGCAGTTTACGTCATCTACCAGGACAGAATTACCTGCCACATGGCAAACACTATTCCTTCTCCAGTTTTCATTGATTGTGTCTGTACTTGTTGGAGAAGCATCTCCTGGAGGGCGTGGGCCACGGCATACACAGCGTTGTATACATTGTAACTCGCATCACTCATGGCTGTGTCAAAACGACTCACAGGCAGCCACGCCAAGGAGGCGTTTGGTGGACAGTTCCTCAATGAACAGCCAGAATCCGAGAATGAGCAGTGGAAATTCTTGAACCAGTACAGAGAAAGGAAATTGTTCTCTGGGTATTTGGAAGGGTTAGCTGTTTGAATAAAATTTTTGAAACCAGAAATCTCTTCGTGGTGGTTTGAAAAAATTAGAGTCCCATGAAACGAGTCAAGTACAAAGTTTCTCCCCGTCACGTCAGCATGCCATTGGGAGTTTGTCACCCAGACTCTCCATGTCACAAGATATCCCCCTATATTAAAGTTTACATCACTTAGACTCTCACTATCATAGTAAACAATAACCACGTTTGCTGGTGACGGTTCTCTGGCCTGGAAATCATGTTGAAACTTTCCAAAATAAGCACTAAGAGTAACTTCAACTGTTTTCACAAAGGCTACACAGATTCTGTTCCTGTCCATCTCTGCTCTCACATCTGAGAGAAACTGACGACCTTTCTGACCTTCTGTGATGAGCAGGCCCACCCAGGTCCAGCTGAAATGAAGCATCAAGGAGACCATGCCGAGGGCCAGGGACGTGTCCTTTGGGGCCATCTGGTACAGGGAAGGAAACTGGCCATTGTCTCTCAGTGCAGGATCAAAAGAGCCAAAAGTAAGCTAAAAGGAAGAGAAAATTAGAAGCAAT